TCGTCTGCTCTACAGCCTCTGCTCTACAGTCTCTGCTCTACAGTCTCTGCTCTACAGTCTCTGCTCTACAGTCTCTGCTCTACAGCCTCTGCTCTACGATCTCTGCTCTACAGCCTCTGCTCTACAGTCTCTGCTCTACATCGTCTGCTCTACAGCCTCTGCTCTACAGTCTCTGCTCTACATCGTCTGCTCTACAGCCTCTGCTCTACAGTCTCTGCTCTACAGTCTCTGCTCTACATCGTCTGCTCTACAGTCTCTGTTCTACAGCCTCTGCTCTACAGTCTCTGCTCTACAGTCTCTGCTCTACAGCCTCTGCTCTACAGCCTCTGCTCTACAGTTTCTGCTCTAGTCTCTGCTCTACAGTCTCTGCTCTACAGCCTCTGCTCTACAGCCTCTGCTCTACAGTCTCTGCTCTACAGTCTCTGCTCTACAGTCTCTGCTATACAGTCTCTGCTCTACAGTCTCTGCTCTACAGCCTCTGCTCTACAGTCTCTGCTCTACAGCCTCTGCTCTACAGTCTCTGCTCTACAGCCTCTGCTCTACAGTCTCTGCTCTACAGCCGCCCTCTGCTCTACAGTCTCTGCACTACAGTCTCTGCTCTACAGTCTCTGCTCTACAGTCTCTGCTATACAGCCTCTGCTCTACAGTCTCTGCTCTACAGTCTCTGCTATACAGTCTCTGCTCTACAGCCTCTGCTCTACAGTCTCTGCTCTACAGTCTCTGCTATACAGTCTCTGCTCTACAGTCTCTGCTCTACAGCCTCTGCTCTACAGTCTCTGCTCTACAGTCTCTGCTCTACAGCCTCTGCTCTACAGTCTCTGCTCTACAGCCTCTGCTCTACAGTCTCTGCTCTACAGTCTCTGCTCTACAGTCTCTGCTCTACAGTCTCTGCTCTACAGTCTCTGCTCTACAGTCTCTGCTCTACAGCCTCTGCTCTACAGTCTCTGCTCTACAGTTTCTGCTCTACAGCCTCTGCTCTACAGTCTCTGCTCTACAGTCTCTGCTCTACATTCTCTGCTCTACAGCCTCTGCTCTACAGTCTCTGCTCTACAGCCTCTGCTCTACAGTCTCTGCTCTACGGTCTCTGCTCTACAGCCTCTGCTCTACAGTCTCTGCTCTACAGTCTCTGCTCTACAGCCTCTGCTCTACAGTCTCTGCTCTACATCGTCTGCTCTACAGCCTCTGCTCTACAGTCTCTGCTCTACAGTCTCTGCTCTACAGCCTCTGCTCTACGATCTCTGCTCTACAGCCTCTGCTCTACAGCCTCTGCTCTACAGTCTCTGCTCTACATCGTCTGCTCTACAGCCTCTGCTCTACAGTCTCTGCTCTACATCGTCTGCTCTACAGCCTCTGCTCTACAGTCTCTGCTCTACAGTCTCTGTTCTACAGCCTCTGCTCTACAGTCTCTGCTCTACAGTCTCTGCTCTACAGCCTCTGCTCTACAGCCTCTGCTCTACAGTTTCTGCTCTACAGCCTCTGCTCTACAGCCTCTGCTCTACAGTTTCTGCTCTAGTCTCTGCTCTACAGTCTCTGCTCTACAGCCTCTGCTCTACAGCCTCTGCTCTACAGTCTCTGCTCTACAGTCTCTGCTCTACAGTCTCTGCTATACAGTCTCTGCTCTACAGCCGCCCTCTGCTCTACAGTCTCTGCTCTACAGCCTCTGCTCTACAGTCTCTGCTCTACAGTCTCTGCACTACAGTCTCTGCTCTACAGTCTCTGCTCTACAGTCTCTGCTATACAGCCTCTGCTCTACAGTCTCTGCTCTACAGTCTCTGCTATACAGTCTCTGCTCTACAGCCTCTGCTCTACAGTCTCTGCTCTACAGTCTCTGCTATACAGTCTCTGCTCTACAGTCTCTGCTCTACAGCCTCTGCTCTACAGCCTCTGCTCTACAGTCTCTGCTCTACAGCCTCTGCTCTACAGCCTCTGCTCTACAGTCTCTGCTCTACAGCCTCTGCTCTACAGCCTCTGCTCTACAGCCTCTGCTCTACAGTCTACAGTCTCTGCTCTACAGCCTCTGCTCTACAGCCTCTGCTCTACAGCCTCTGCTCTACAGCTCACGCTCTCACAGCCTCTGCTCTACAGTCTCCTCCAGAAGCAGCCTCTGCTCTACAGTCTCCTCCAGAAGCAGCCTCTGCTCTACAGCCTCTGCTCTACAGTTTCTGCTCTAGTCTCTGCTCTACAGCCTCTGCTCTACAGTCTCTGCTCTACAGTCTCTGCTCTACAGTCTCTGCTCTACAGTCTCTGCTCTACAGCCTCTGCTCTACAGTCTCCTCCAGAAGCAGCCTCTGCTCTACAGTCTCTGCTCTACAGCCTCTGCTCTACAGCCTCTGCTCTACAGTCTCCTCCAGAAGCAGCCTCTGCTCTACAGTCTCTGCTCTACAGTCTCCTCCAGAAGCAGCCTCTGCTCTACAGTCTCTGCTCTACAGCCTCTGCTCTACAGCCTCTGCTCTACAGTCTCCTCCAGAAGCAGCCTCTGCTCTACAGTCTCTGCTCTACAGTCTCCTCCAGAAGCAGCCTCTGCTCTACAGTCTCTGCTCTACAGTCTCCTCCAGAAGCAGCCTCTGCACCTGTGTCTTTGTTGAGAGTGAAGTAGGGAGAGTTCCCTCCTGGGACGGTCCTGTATGTGACCCGGCCGTAGTCCCCAGAGTCCGGGTCCCGCGCTGTGACCCGCAGCACGGAGGTCCCCGGGGCGCTCTGGCTGCTCAGGCTCACGGCGTACACCAGAGGGTAGAAGCTGGGCGCGTTGTCGTTCACGTCCTCCACATCCACTCGCACCGACGTCACGGAGCTCAGGCCTCCCTGCAGCACACTCAGTCACACTCTGACGTCACGGAGCTCAGGCCTCCCTGCAGCACACTCAGTCACACTCTGACGTCACGGAGCTCAGGCCTCCCTGCAGCACACTCAGTCACACTCTGACGTCACGGAGCTCAGGCCTCCCTGCAGCACACTCAGTCACACTCTGACGTCACGGAGCTCAGGCCTCCCTGCAGCACACTCAGTCACACTCTGACGTCACGGAGCTCAGGCCTCCCTGCAGCACACTCAGTCACACTCTGACGTCACGGAGCTCAGGCCTCCCTGCAGCACACTCAGTCACACTCTGACGTCACGGAGCTCAGGCCTCCCTGCAGCACACTCAGTCACACTCTGACGTCACGGAGCTCAGGCCTCCCTGCAGCACACTCAGTCACACTCTGACGTCACGGAGCTCAGGCCTCCCTGCAGCACACTCAGTCACACTCTGACGTCACGGAGCTCAGGCCTCCCTGCAGCACACTCAGTCACACTCTGACGTCACGGAGCTCAGGCCTCCCTGCAGCACACTCAGTCACACTCAGTCACACTCTGACGTCACGGAGCTCAGGCCTCCCTGCAGCACACTCAGTCACACTCTGCTCTGGGTCACACTGAAATTCTCAATGCTTTATTAGCATTTCAAAATACAGCACAGACCAGAGGTTTGGACACCTTCTCATTCAAAGAGTTTTTTATTTTCATGATTATAAAACTGTAGATTGACACTGAGGGCCTCAAACCTATGATGAACTCATGTGAATGATGTCCGTAGTAAAAAAGTATGAACCAAGTGTAAATATGTGTTATATTCTGGTTCTTCAAAGTAGAACCTTTTGCTCTGATCCTGCTTCACTCTTGGCATTCTCTGGATGAGCTTCAACAGGACCTGAAATGGTCTTGGTCCTGGTCCTGGTCCTGGTCCTGGTCCTGGTCCTGGTCCTGGTCCCAGTCCTGGTCTTACCCCGTCCGCTGCGGTGAGGCTGAGCTGGTGCCAGGCCGGGCCCTGGTCCCGGTCCAGAGGGGCAGAGGTGCAGATGTGACCCGTGTCTGGGTGGACCCTGAAGAGGACGGAGCGGGAGCCCAAAGAGTAAGAGAGCGACCCAAAGGGACCAGCGTCTGCGTCTGTGGCTGTCACCTGCAACACATGGTCCACACTGATGTAGTGATGGTACAGACCAGGGTACTGACCAAGGTACTGACTAATGTACAGACCAGGGTACAGACTAATGTACAGACCAGGGTACAGACTAATGTACAGACAAAGGTACAGACTAATGTACAGACCAAGGTACAGACTAATGTACAGACAAAGGTACAGACTAATGTACAGACCAAGGTACAGACTAATGTACAGACAAAGGTACAGACTAATGTACAGACAAAGGTACAGACTAATGTACAGACCAAGGTACAGACTAATGTACAGACAAAGGTACAGACTAATGTACAGACCAAGGTACAGACTAATGTACAGACCAAGGTACAGACTAATGTACAGACAAAGGTACAGACTAATGTACAGACCAAGGTACAGACTAATGTACAGACCAGGGTACAGACTAATGTACAGACAAAGGTACAGACTAATGTACAGACCAAGGTACAGACTAATGTACTGACAAAGGTACAGACTAATGTACAGACCAAGGTACAGACTAATGTACAGACAAAGGTACAGACTAATCTACAGACCAAGGTACAGGCTAATGTACAGACCAGGGTACAGACTAATGTACAGACAAAGGTACAGACTAATGTACAGACAAAGGTACAGACTAATGTACAGACAAAGGTACAGACTAATGTACAGACCAAGGTACAGACTAATGTACAGACCAAGGTACAGACTAATGTACAGACAAAGGTACAGACTAATGTACAGACCAAGGTACAGACTAATGTACAGACAAAGGTACAGACTAATCTACAGACCAAGGTACAGACTAATGTACAGACCAAGGTACAGACTAATGTACAGACAAAGGTACAGACTAATGTACTGACCAAGGTACAGACTAATGTACAGACCAAGGTACAGACTAATGTACAGACCAAGGTACAGACTAATGTACAGACAAAGGTACAGACTAATCTACAGACCAAGGTACAGACTAATGTACAGACAAAGGTACAGACTAATCTACAGACCAAGGTACAGGCTAATGTACAGACCAAGGTACAGACTAATGTACAGACCAGGGTACAGACTAATGTACAGACCAGGGTACAGACTAATGTACAGACAAAGGTACAGACTAATGTACAGACAAAGGTACAGACTAATGTACAGACAAAGGTACAGACTAATGTACAGACCAAGGTACAGACTAATGTACAGACTAATGTACAGACAAAGGTACAGACTAATGTACAGACCAAGGTACAGACTAATGTACAGACAAAGGTACAGACTAATGTACAGACAAAGGTACAGACTAATGTACAGACAAAGGTACAGACTAATGTACAGACAAAGGTACAGACTAATGTACAGACCAAGGTACAGACTAATGTACTGACCAAGGTACAGACTAATGTACAGACAAAGGTACAGGCTAATCTACAGACAAAGGTACAGACTAATGTACAGACAAAGGTACAGACAAAGGTACAGACTAATGTACAGACCAAGGTACAGACTAATGTACAGACAAAGGTACAGACTAATGTACAGACCAAGGTACAGACTAATGTACAGACCAGGGTACAGGCTAATGTACAGACAAAGGTACAGACTAATGTACAGACAAAGGTACAGACAAAGGTACAGACTAATGTACAGACCAAGGTACAGACTAATGTACAGACAAAGGTACAGACTAATGTACAGACCAAGGTACAGACTAATGTACTGACCAAGGTACAGACTAATGTACAGACAAAGGTACAGGCTAATCTACAGACCAAGGTACAGGCTAATGTACAGACAAAGGTACAGACTAATGTACAGACAAAGGTACAGACTAATGTACTGACCAAGGTACAGACTAATGTACAGACAAAGGTACAGACTAATGTACAGACAAAGGTACAGACTAATGTACAGACAAAGGTACAGGGTAATGTACAGACAAAGGTACAGGCTAATGTACAGACCAAGGTACAGGCTAATGTACAGACCAAGGTACAGACTAATGTACTGACCAAGGTACAGACTAATGTACAGACAAAGGTACAGACTAATGTACTGACCAAGGTACAGACTAATGTACAGACCAAGGTACAGACTAATGTACAGACAAAGGTACAGACTAATGTACAGACAAAGGTACAGACTAATGTACAGACCAAGGTACAGACTAATGTACAGACAAAGGTACAGACTAATGTACAGACAAAGGTACAGACTAATGTACAGACCAAGGTACAGACTAATGTACAGACAAAGGTACAGACTAATGTACAGACAAAGGTACTGACTAATGTACAGACAAAGGTACAGACTAATGTACAGACCAGGGTACAGACTAATGTACAGACCAGGGTACAGACTAATGTACAGACAAAGGTACAGACTAATGTACAGACCAAGGTACAGACAAATGTACAGACTAATGTACAGACAAAGGTACAGACTAATGTACAGACCAAGGTACAGACTAATGTACAGACCAGGGTACAGACAAAGGTACAGACTAATGTACAGACAAAGGTACAGACTAATGTACAGACAAAGGTACAGACTAATGTACAGACAAAGGTACAGACTAATGTACAGACCAAGGTACAGACTAATGTACAGACAAAGGTACAGACTAATGTACAGACCAGGGTACAGACTAATGTACAGACAAAGGTACAGACTAATGTACTGACCAAGGTACAGACTAATGTACAGACCAGGGTACAGACTAATGTACAGACCAGGGTACAGACTAATGTACAGACAAAGGTACAGGCTAATGTACAGACCAGGGTACAGACTAATGTACAGACAAAGGTACAGACTAATGTACAGACTAATGTACAGACTAATGTACAGACAAAGGTACAGACTAATGTACAGACCAGGGTACAGACTAATGTACAGACAAAGGTACAGACTAATGTACAGACAAAGGTACAGACTAATGTACAGACCAGGGTACAGACTAATGTACAGACAAAGGTACAGACTAATGTACAGACAAAGGTACAGACTAATGTACAGACCAGGGTACAGACTAATGTACAGACAAAGGTACAGACTAATGTACAGACAAAGGTACAGACTAATGTACAGACAAAGGTACAGACTAATGTACAGACCAGGGTACAGACTAATGTACAGACAAAGGTACAGACTAATGTACAGACCAGGGTAAGACCAGACGTACATGTAGGAAATGTTAGTCTTGAATGATGTTATCTCTGTCTTGTAATTTTGTCATGTTAATGTATTTTAATATCTTTTTAACATCACAGCCAGGGGACTACAGATGAAAAATAGCCTCCTTGGCTAATTCTGGCTTTTTTAACTCATGTTTTATCATGTGTTTTATTAAATTGCATTGTCCCCCTTTGAAATAAACTAAACTGAAACTGAGACCATGGACCAGAGTTTACACATGGTAAGACCAGGGTACAGCAGCAGTATTGAGGGCCATCACAGAACACAGTCATTAGATAAACATAATGTCATGTGTTTATGATTCTGCAGCAGGAGATAATAATACTGAATGATAATCATGATAATACTGAATGATAATCATGATAATACTGAATGATAATCATAATAATACTGAATGATATTCATAATAATACTGAATGATAATCATGATAATACTGAATGATAATCATGATAATACTGAACGATAATCATGATAATACTGAACGATAATCATGATAATACTGAATGATAATCATGATAATACTGAATGATAATCATGATAATACTATCATGATAATACTGAATGATAATCATGATAATACTGAATGATAATCATGATAATACTGAATGATAATCATGATAATACCGAATGATAATCATGATAATACTGAATGATAATCATAATAATACTGAATGATAATCATGATAATACTATCATGATAATACTGAATGATAATCATGATAATACCGAATGATAATCATGATAATACTGTATGATAATCATGATAATACTGAATGATAATCATGATAATACTGAATGATAATCATGATAATACTGAACGATAATCATGATAATACTGAACGATAATCATGATAATACTGAATGATAATCATGATAATACTGAATGATAATCATGATAATACTATCATGATAATACTGAATGATAATCATGATAATACTGAATGATAATCATAATAATACTGAATGATAATGATAATAATACTGAATGATAATCATAATAATACTGAATGATAATCATGATAATACTGAATGATAATCATGATAATACTGAATGATAATCATAATAATACTGAACGATAATCATGATAATACTGAACGATAATCATGATAATACTGAATGATAATCATGATAATACTGAATGATAATCATGATAATACTATCATGATAATACTGAATGATAATCATGATAATACTGAATGATAATCATGATAATACTGAATGATAATCATAATAATACTGAATGATAATCATAATAATACTGAATGATAATCATGATAATACTGAATGATAATCATGATAATACTGAACGATAATCATGATAATACTGAACGATAATCATGATAATACTGAATGATAATCATGATAATACTGAATGATAATCATGATAATACTATCATGATAATACTGAATGATAATCATGATAATACTGAATGATAATCATGATAATACTGAATGATAATCATGATAATACCGAATGATAATCATGATAATACTGAATGATAATCATAATAATACTGAATGATAATCATGATAATACTATCATGATAATACTGAATGATAATCATGATAATACCGAATGATAATCATGATAATACTGTATGATAATCATGATAATACTGAATGATAATCATGATAATACTGAATGATAATCATGATAATACTGAACGATAATCATGATAATACTGAACGATAATCATGATAATACTGAATGATAATCATGATAATACTGAATGATAATCATGATAATACTATCATGATAATACTGAATGATAATCATGATAATACTGAATGATAATCATAATAATACTGAATGATAATGATAATAATACTGAATGATAATCATAATAATACTGAATGATAATCATGATAATACTGAATGATAATCATGATAATACTGAATGATAATCATAATAATACTGAACGATAATCATGATAATACTGAACGATAATCATGATAATACTGAATGATAATCATGATAATACTGAATGATAATCATGATAATACTATCATGATAATACTGAATGATAATCATGATAATACTGAATGATAATCATGATAATACTGAATGATAATCATAATAATACTGAATGATAATCATAATAATACTGAATGATAATCATGATAATACTGAATGATAATCATGATAATACTGAACGATAATCATGATAATACTGAACGATAATCATGATAATACTGAATGATAATCATGATAATACTGAATGATAATCATGATAATACTATCATGATAATACTGAATGATAATCATGATAATACTGAATGATAATCATGATAATACTGAATGATAATCATGATAATACCGAATGATAATCATGATAATACTGAATGATAATCATAATAATACTGAATGATAATCATGATAATACTGAATGATAATCATGATAATACTGAATGATAATCATGATAATACTGAATGATAATCATGATAATACTGAATGATAATCATGATAATACTGAATGATAATCATAATAATACTGAATGATAATCATAATAATACTGAATGATAATCATAATAATACTGAATGATAATCATGATAATACTGAATGATAATCATGATAATACTGAACGATAATCATGATAATACTGAACGATAATCATGATAATACTGAATGATAATCATGATAATACTGAATGATAATCATGATAATACTATCATGATAATACTGAATGATAATCATGATAATACTGAATGATAATCATGATAATACTGAATGATAATCATGATAATACCGAATGATAATCATGATAATACTGAATGATAATCATAATAATACTGAATGATAATCATGATAATATTATCATGATAATACTGAATGATAATCATGATAATACCGAATGATAATCATGATAATACTGAATGATAATCATGATAATACTGAATGATAATCATGATAATACTGAATGATAATCATGATAATACTGAACGATAATCATGATAATACTGAACGATAATCATGATAATACTGAATGATAATCATGATAATACTGAATGATAATCATGATAATACTATCATGATAATACTGAATGATAATCATGATAATACTGAATGATAATCATAATAATACTGAATAATAATCATAATAATACTGAATGATAATCATAATAATACTGAATGATAATCATGATAATACTGAATGATAATCATGATAATACTGAATGATAATCATGATAATACTGAACAATAATCATGATAATATTGAACAATAATCATGATAATACTGAATGATAATCATGATAATACTGAATGATAATCATGATAATACTATCATGATAATACTGAATGATAATCATGATAATACTGAATGATAATCATGATAATACTGAATGATAATCATAATAATACTGAATGATAATCATAATAATACTGAATGATAATCATGATAATACTGAATGATAATCATGATAATACTGAACGATAATCATGATAATACTGAACGATAATCATGATAATACTGAATGATAATCATGATAATACTGAATGATAATCATGATAATACTATCATGATAATACTGAATGATAATCATGATAATACTGAATGATAATCATGATAATACTGAATGATAATCATGATAATACTGAATGATAATCATGATAATACTGAATGATAATCATAATAATACTGAATGATAATCATAATAATACTGAATGATAATCATGATAATACTGAATGATAATCATGATAATACTGAATGATAATCATGATAATACTGAATGATAATCATGATGAAGCAGGAGGTGACGAGCTGCAGAATGAAGAGCTTTAAAGGTGAGTCAAATAACTCTTTGTCTCTGTTTCCTCTGAGCAGGAGCAGAGACCATAAGGAGCAGAGACCATAAGGAGCAGAGACCATAAGAAGCAGAGACCATAAGGAGCAGAGACCATAAGGAGCAGAGGCCACAAGGAGCAGAGACCACAAGGAGCAGAGACCACAAGGAGCAGAGACCACAAGGAGCAGAGGCCACAAGGAGCAGAGACCACAAGGAGCAGAGGCCACAAGGAGCAGAGACCATAAGGAGCAGAGACCACAACGAGCAGAGACCACAAGGAGCAGAGACCACAAGGAGCAGAGGCCATAAGGAGCAGAGACCATAAGGAGCAGAGACCATAAGGAGCAGAGACCACAAGGAGCAGAGACCACAAGGAGCAGAGGCCACAAGGAGCAGAGGCCACAAGGAGCAGAGACTACAAGGAGCAGAGACTACAAGGAGCAGAGGCCACAAGGAGCAGAGGCCACAAGGAGCAGAGACCACAAGGAGCAGAGACCATAAGGAGCAGAGACCACAAGGAGCAGAGACCATAAGGAGCAGAGACCACAAGGAGCAGAGACCACAAGGAGCAGAGGCCACAAGGAGCAGAGGCCACAAGGAGCAGAGACTACAAGGAGCAGAGACTACAAGGAGCAGAGACTACAAGGAGCAGAGGCCACAAGGAGCAGAGACCACAAGGAGCAGAGACCATAAGGAGCAGAGACCATAAGGAGCAGAGACCACAAGGAGCAGAGACCACAAGGAGCAGAGACCACTGTCTATAAATGTCCTGGACCATCACTGATCTAGAAATGCATTTCATTTAAATAGGTCTCCGCCTGGTCTCCCCATGCCCCCACCTGGTCTCCGCCTGGTCTCCCCATGCCCCCACCTGGTCTCCCCCTGGTCTCTCCCCCCCCGGTCTCCCCCTGGTCTCGCCTCAGTCCTATCTCAGCGTCCACATCCCCCTGGTCTCCCCCTGCCCCCCCCCCCCTGGTCTCCCTCTGGTCTCCCCCTGGTCTCTCCCCCCCCTGGTCTCCCCCTGGTCTCGCCTCAGTCCTATCTCAGAGTCCACATCTTGTTCCCATCATGCCGCTCTCTCGTCCTAAGTCCACATGAAACACGGTGAGTCTTTCATTTCCTTCTGGTTAGATTCTGCCTCGAGCTCAGGTTTGAGCGGCTCCTAATCCTGATCCTAATCCTGATCCAAATCCTGATCCAAATCCTGATCCAAATCCTGATCCAAATCCTGGTCCAAATCCGGGTCCAGAGGCCGGTCCAGGCAGCGCTGAGTAACAAAGGGTCAGGCCTGGAGCAGTCCTGACAGTGGAACGATATGTCAGAAAAATATCGCTATCGCGATTATAGAAATATTCAATTCAATGTCTCTGTGTCCACAGCAGATCAGAGAAGGTTTGTCTCTGTTACCATGGAAACTGGGTTCAGATTTGTCTGTAGTGATGATGACATAGATGGAAATGTGCAAAGTTAACATGGGTCTGGCCACAACCATCACTGAGTCAGTGAGGGCCAGTGAGGGCCGGTGAGGGCCGGTGAGGGTCAGTGAGGGTCAGTGAGGGTCAGTGAGGGTCAGTGAGGGTCAGTGAGGGTCAGTAAGGGCCGGTGAGGGTCAGTGAGGGTCAGTGAGGGTCAGTGAGGGTCAGTAAGGGCCGGTGAGGGTCAGTGAGGGTCAGTGAGGGTCAGTGAGGGTCAGTGAGGGCCAGTAAGGGCCGGTGAGGGTCAGTGAGGGTCAGTGAGGGCCAATGAGGGCTGGTGAGGGCCGGTGAGGGCCGGTGAGGGTCAGTGAGGGTCGGTGAGGGCCGGTGAGGGCCGGTGAGGGCCGGTGAGGGCCGGTGAGGGCCGGTGAGGGCCGGTGAGGGCCGGTGAGGGCCGGTGAGGGCCAGTGAGGGCCGGTGAGGGCCGGTGAGGGCCGGTGAGGGCCGGTGAGGGCCAGTGAGGGCTGGTGAGGGCCGGCGAGGGCTGGTGAGGGCCGGTGAGGGCCGGCGAGGGCTGGTGAGGGCCGGTGAGGGCCGGCGAGGGCTGGTGAGGGCTGGGTGTTCCTGTGTCAGGCCGTCTTGTGTTTGGGGGAGACACACTTCACAGTTTGTCTCAGTGACTTTGGTGCATTTCTCAGACCTCAGTTCAACCTCCACAACACTGAGTCATGTGTGACATCATGTGTGACATCATGTGTGACATCATGTGTGACATCATGTGTGACATCATGTGTGACATCATGTGTGACATCATGTGTGACATCATGTGTGACCTCATCGCAGCAGTTTCTCCTTTGAACACATTACAAATGCTTTTGTTCATGTATCAGTTACTTTCATACAATTCTCTGTGTTTTATAACATTATCATCTGCTTCTGTCCTGTCAGTCAGAGACTATAGACTATAATGAGACCATAGACTTTAACGAGACCATAGACTATAACGAGACTATAGACTATAATGAGACCATAGACTATAACGAGACCATAGACTATAACGAGACCATAGACTATAATGAGACCATAGACTATAACGAGACTATAGACTATAATGAGACCATAGACTTTAACGAGACCATAGACTATAACGAGACTATAGACTATAATGAGACCATAGACTATAACGAGACCATAGACTATAACGAGACCATAGACTATAATGAGACCATAGACTATAACGAGACCATAGACTATAATGAGACCATAGACTATAACGAGACCATAGACTATAACGAGACTATAGACTATAATGAGACCATAGACTATAACGAGACCATAGACTATAACGAGACTATAGACTATAATGAGACCATAGACTATAACGAGACTATAGACTATAATGAGACCATAGACTATAATGAGACCATAGACTATAACGAGACTATAGACTATAATGAGACCATAGACTATAACGAGACTATAGACTATAATGAGACCATAGACTATAATGAGACCATAGACTATAATGAGACCATAGACTATAACGAGACTATAGACTATAACGAGACCATAGACTATAACGAGACTATAGACTATAATGAGACCATAGACTATAACGAGACCATAGACTATAACGAGACTATAGACTATAATGAGACCATAGACTATAACGAGACCATAGACTATAATGAGACCATAGACTATAATGAGACCATAGACTATAACGAGACTATAGACTATAATGAGACCATAGACTATAACGAGACCATAGACTATAACGAGACCATAGACTATAACGAGACCATGCTATACACCACACACCACATGCTTCACGCCACATGAGGACCTGCCACATGAGGACCTCCCACATGAGGACCTGCCACATGAGGACCTCCCACATGAGGACCTGCCACATTAGGACCTCCCACATGAGGACCTCCCACATGAGTAAGTAAGTTAGTAAGTTTTTATTTATATACCGCCTTTTCACTGCAGATCTGAGTCTCAAAGCGGTTTACAATTGTTATTATTTGGGCATTTGTCTCTCACTCCACACAGAGATGGGAGCGGGGCCAGTACAGGAAGCGCATGCCAGAACTATTGTACATATTTTTAGTGGAAGGGGAAACCGGAGTACCCGGAGGAAACCTACGCAGACACGGGGAGAACATGCAAACTCCACTCAGAAAGGCCCTGTTCCGACCGGGATTCGAACCCAGGACCTTCTTGCTGAGAGGCGAGAGTGCTATCCACTCAGCCACCGTGCCGCCCTGAGGACCTGCCACATGAGGACATGCCACATGAGGACCTCCCACATGAGGACCTCCCACATGAGGGCCTGCCACATGAGGACCTGCCACATTAGGACCTCCCACATGAGGACCTGCCACATGAGGACATGCCACATGAGGACCTGCCACATTAGGACCTCCCACATGAGGACCTGCCACATGAGGACATGCCACATGAGGACCTGCCACATTAGGACCTCCCACATGAGGACCTGCCACATGAGGACATGCCACATGAGGACCTGCCACATTAGGACCTCCCACATGAGGACCTCACCATCGCAGTCACCAAGACCATGAGAGAAGCCGTGTTGAAAGTGTCAAGATCACTTCATGAACCTATTGTTGGCTCCATGGCTACGATGCTCCGATGCTATGATGCTACGATGCTATGATGCTACGATGCTACGATGCTACGATGCTACGATGCTATGATGCTACGATGCTAACCGCTAGTTTAATAGAAACCTCAGGGTCGTCCTCAGCGTTTTACAGATCTGCTCTGTCAGAAAATTACAACCTGAGCCCAGAAAACTCTCAGACCATGTTGTATGATGTTGTCTGGTGTGCCGTGAGAAATTCACCTTTTTTGTTTAAAAATAGACGGATCCACGTTGGCGAGCCATGACTGTTTTGAACTGTAGAGTAACCACATAATACTTGTTCATATCAGTAGGTGGCAGCAGAGAGCTAAGTTCTTTAAAACGCAAGAATTGGATGCAACCACTGGATGTAACAGGTAGGGAGCATTGTGGCCAGAAATACAATACCATACAATACAATACAACTTATTCTTTTATTTCCCTAAATCACAACAGCATCATCTCAGAGACTGAACAAAACCATTGAAATCACCACAGATCAGAGAATCATGTTATACATGTGATAAATGTCATACATGTTGATAAATGTCATACATGTTGATAAATGTCACACATGTTGATAAATGTCACACATGTTGATAAATGTCACACATGTTGATAAATGTCACACATGTTGATAAATGTCACACATGTGATAAATGTCACACATGTGATAAATGTCATACATGTTGATAAATGTCATACATGTTGATAAATGTCACACATGTTGATAAATGTCATACATGTGATAAATGTCACACATGTTGATAAATGTCATACATGTTGATAAATGTCACACATGTGATAAATGTCATACATGTTGATAAATGTCACACATGTTGATAAATGTCACACATGTTGATAAATGTCATACATGTTGATAAATGTCATACATGTGATAAATGTCACACATGTTGATAAATGTCATACATGTTGATAAATGTCACACATGTGATAAATGTCATACATGTTGATAAATGTCACACATGTTGATAAATGTCACACATGTTGATAAATGTCACACATGATGATAAATGTCACACATGTGATAAATGTCCCACATGTGATAAATGTCACACATGTGATAAATGTCACACATGTTGATAAATGTCATACATGTGATAAATGTCACACATGTGATAAATGTCACACATGTTGATAAATGTCATACATGTTGATAAATGTCACACATGTGATAAATGTCACACATGTGATAAATGTCACACATGTTGATAAATGTCATACATATGATAAATATCATACATGTGATAAATGTCACACATGTTGATAAATGTCATACATGATGATAAATGTCACACATATGATAAATGTCATATATGTGATAAATGTCACACATGTTGATAAATGTCACACATGTTGATAAATGTCATACATGTTGATAAATGTCACACATGTGATAAATGTCACACATGTGATAAATGTCATACATGTTGATAAATGTCACACATGTTGATAAATGTCATACATGTTGATAAATGTCACACATGTGATAAATGTCACACATGTTGATAAATGTCACACATGTTGATAAATGTCACACATGTTGATAAATGTCACACATGTTGATAAATGTCATACATGTTGATAAATGTCACACATGTGATAAATGTCACACATGTTGATAAATGTCACACATGTTGATAAATGTCACACATGTTGATAAATGTCACACATGTTGATAAATGTCATACATGTTGATAAATGTCACACATGTTGATAAATGTCACACATGTTGATAAATGTCATACATGTTGATAAATGTCACACATGTGATAAATGTCACACATGTTGATAAATGTCATACATGTTGATAAATGTCATACATGTTGATAAATGTCACACATGTTGATAAATGTCATACATGTTGATAAATGTCATACATGTTGATAAATGTCACACATGTTGATAAATGTCACACATGTTGATAAATGTCATACATGTTGATAAATGTCATACATGTTGATAAATGTCATACATGTTGATAAATGTCACACATATGATAAATGTCATACATGTTGATAAATGTCACACATGTTGATAAATGTCACACATGTTGATAAATGTCATACATGATGATAAATGTCACACATGTGATAAATGTCATACATATGATAAATGTCATACATGTGATAAATGTCACACATGTTGATAAATGTCATACATGTTGATAAATGTCATACATGTTGATAAATGTCACACATGTTGATAAATGTCATACATGTTGATAAATGTCATACATGTTGATAAATGTCACACATGTTGATAAATGTCATACATGTTGATAAATGTCATACATGTTGATAAATGTCACACATGTTGATAAATGTCATACATGTTGATAAATGTCACACATGTTGATAAATGTCATACATGTTGATAAATGTCACACATATGATAAATGTCATACATGTTGATAAATGTCACACATGTTGATAAATGTCACACATGTTGATAAATGTCATACATGATGATAAATGTCACACATGTGATAAATGTCACACATGTTGATAAATGTCATACATGTTGATAAATGTCATACATGTTGATAAATGTCACACATGTTGATAAATGTCATACATGTTGATAAATGTCACACATGTTGATAAATGTCACACATGTTGATAAATGTCATACATGATGATAAATGTCACACATGTGATAAATGTCATACATATGATAAATGTCATACATGTGATAAATGTCACACATGTTGATAAATGTCATACATGTTGATAAATGTCATACATGTTGATAAATGTCACACATGTTGATAAATGTCACACATGTTGATAAATGTCATACATGTTGATAAATGTCACACATATGATAAATGTCATACATGTTGATAAATGTCATACATGTTGATAAATGTCATACATGTTGATAAATGTCATACATTTTGATAAATGTCACACATATGATAAATGTCATACATGTTGATAAATGTCATACATGTGATAAATGTCATACATGTTGATAAATGTCATACATGTTGATAAATGTCACACATGTTGATAAATGTAACACATGTGATAAATGTCACACATGTGATAAATGTCATACATGTGATAAATGTCATACATGTGATAAATGTCACACATGTTGATAAATGTCACACATGTGATAAATGTCACACATGTGATAAATGTCATACATGTTGATAAATGTCATACATGTTGATAAATGTCATACATGTAATAAATGTCACACATGTTGATAAATGTCATACATGTTGATAAATGTAACACATGTGATAAATGTCACACATGTGATAAATGTCATACATGTTGATAAATGTCATACATGTAATAAATGTCACACATGTTGATAAATGTCATACATGTGATAAATGTCACACATGTGATAAATGTAACACATGTTGATAAATGTAACACATGTGATAAATGTCACACATGTGATAAATGTCATACATGTTGATAAATGTCATACATGTAATAAATGTCACACATGTTGATAAATGTCATACATGTGATAAATGTCACACATGTGATAAATGTCACACATGTTGATAAATGTAACACATGTGATAAATGTCACACATGTGATAAATGTCACACATGTTGATAAATGTCATACATGTAATAAATGTCACACATGTTGATAAATGTCATACATGTGATAAATGTCACACATGTGATAAATGTAACACATGTGATAAATGTCATACATGTTGATAAATGTAACACATGTGATAAATGTCACACATGTGATAAATGTCACACATGTGATAAATGTCACACATGTGATAAATGTAACACATGTGATAAATGTCACACATGTGATAAATATCATACATGTTGTAGAACAGTCCTTCTAGTTGGACACTAACTGCATCAGAGGAAAAACTCTTAAAAACCAGTGGTAAAAGTGAAATGTAAGAATCTGATGCGACCAAAGAATGGAGCAGTCGTGGAGAGAGAGAAGAGAAAGTGATGGAGACGTTTTTGAAAAGGCTATTCTTGAACAGGATTCACATCCTCCACTCTGCCCCAGGGCAGCTGTACTGTATTTTGCAGACTTCAGAGCCTAGGAGTCATTATTTTACTGTTTGGACTGAGAGTGGATTTTTTTAATGTTTTCTTCCCACAGTTTGTGCCACTTTATTCCCAAACTCTTGTAAACTCTTTGTATTGAGAAATATTAAACAACGCTTAATGTCGAGGCCTGGATTGAAGCACTTTGATGAGAATGACTTTATATTGTAAATATAGGCCACAGACCATATGTTTTTACAGTTCTCCTGGTGCTGGGCCGCCAGATTATTTAAAGAATAAATGTGAAAGTGTTTGGCTGAAAAAAGGCTGAAAAACACTGTGATAGAGAACCAGGAGAGACAGGGTCCGGGACCGTGGATCTAGGACCATGGGTCTAAGACCGTAGGTCTAGGACCATGGGTTTAGGACCGTGGGTCTAGGACCGTGGGTCCAGGACCATGGGTTTAATGACTGTGGGTTTATCTTAATGTGACACATTCTGTTCAAAGCAGATTCTCCGTCGGGACAAAGACATTTTCTCTGATTTCTAGATGTGTTTTTCCTGATTCCAAAGGAGACGTTTGTTTTAGTCCAGGACACTTTGGTCTGGCCTGAGCCTCGGCCTCACAGACACACGTCTGCTCACAATTAAAATAAATGTTTTTAAGTAAATAAGTAATGTTTATTTATGTACCGCCTTTCACAGACCAGAGTCAGAGCGGTTTAAAGAATCTTTGTGCAGAGAATCAAACAACTTCAGTCTTTTTAATCTCACTTCAGTTCGTGTCATGTAATATTCATGGTGTGATGAGTCTGCTCCTGTCTCCTGTGCTTCCTGACACAGCTGCAGCGCCTGTGGAAAGCCTCAATACTTCATCTCACTTTCACAGCTCGACATCAGACCGGACGCTCCCTCCTCAGGGAGAAAACAAACCATATCTGAGAGTTTGGAGGCAGGAGACGGAAGGTCTGAGCTTCAGAGGAAACTATAGATCTGGATCAGTCTTTTAGGCCACGTCCAACCTGTGGCCTGGGGGCCCACTGTGGTCCAACCTGTGGCCTGGGGGCCGACTGTGGTCCAACCTGTGGCCTGGGGGCCCACTGTGGTCAAACCTGTGGCCTGGGGGCCCACTGTGGTCCAACCTGTGGCCTGGGGGCCCACTGTGGTCCAACCTGTGGCCTGGGGGCCAACTGTGGTCCTCTGTGGCCCTCTGAGTTAGTAGAAGACATTTCTATCTATCTATCTATCTAAAATATTGTTAGGGTAAAAATGAGGAGTTTTGGTGAATCACTTCAACCCTTAAAGCTTTGGTACCTAACTTTTTGGTTTCATAATCAATACATTTGTCGTTATGGACAAAATGCGTGTCCAAGAAGAGGAGGAAAATGAAAGAAGTCTATAGACCAAGTCCCGGTGATCCAAGATGGCGTCATATTCAAATGAACGGCTTGTACTCAGTAGTTCATGGGACTTTACGGCGCTGACATATCAGAGGAACTCGCCCATATTTGGGCATCATCTGGTCCTCCTGGTTCTGTGCAGTGAACGAACTCCCATGATGCTTTGGGCCAAATACGCGTGTGTGGCTCTTGTGCACATGCACAGAGGGGCTCGGCCTCTGACCAATCAGAGGGCAGCGTTCTGACCAATCAGAGCTGCTGATCAGAGCGGGAAGGAAAGGAGCAGAGTTTGTGGCAGTAAAGTGTGGATTTAAAGAAAACCGAAGGATTTAAGAAGAAAAAAAGTTCAGGACGACAAGGGACACTAACATCCCCACAAAATACTATCTTTATGAAAGCTGTAGGTTCTCTGTCAGGTTCTCTGTAGGTTCTCTGTCAGGTTCTCTATCAGGTTCTCTGTCAGGTTCTCTGTAGGTTCTCTGTCAGGTTCTCTGTAGGTTCTCTGTCAGGTTCTCTATCAGGTTCTCTGTCAGGTTCTCTGTAGGTTCTCTGTCAGGTTCTCTGTAGGTTCTCTGTAGGTTCTCTGTCAGGTTCTCTGTCAGGTTCTCTGTAGGTTCTCTGTCAGGTTCTCTATCAGGTTCTCTGTCAGGTTCTCTGTAGGTTCTCTGTCAGGTTATCTGTCAGGTTCTCTGTAGGTTCTGTCAGGTTCTCTGTCAGGTTCTCTGTAGTTTCTCTGTCAGGTTCTTTGTAGTTTCTCTGTCAGGTTCTCTGTCAGGTTCTCTGTAGATTCTCTGTAGGTTCTCTGTCAGGTTCTCTGTCAAGTTCTCTGTAGGTTCTGTCAGGTTCTCTGTCAGGTTCTCTGTAGGTTCTCTGTCAGGTTCTCTGTCAAGTTCTCTGTAGGTTCTGTCAGGTTCTTTGTCAGGTTCTCTGTAGGTTCTGTCAGGTTCTCTGTAGGTTCTCTGTAGGTTCTCTGTCAGGTTCTCTGTCAGGTTCTCTGTAGGTTCTCTGTCAGGTTCTCTATCAGGTTCTCTGTCAGGTTCTCTGTAGGTTCTCTGTCAGGTTCTCTGTCAGGTTCTCTGTCAGGTTCTCTGTCAGGTTCTCAGTCAGGTTCTCTGTCAGGTTCTCTGTCAGGTTCTCTGTAGGTTCTCTGTCAGGTTCTCTGTCAGGTTCTCTGTCAGGTTCTCTGTCAGGTTCTCTGTCAGGTTCTCTGTAGGTTCTCTGTCAGGTTCTCTATCAGGTTCTCTGTCAGGTTCTCTGTAGGTTCTCTGTCAGGTTCTCTGTAGGTTCTGTCAGGTTCTCTGTCAGGTTCTTTGTAGTTTCTCTGTAGGTTCTCTGTAGGTTCTCTGTCAGGTTATCTGTCAGGTTCTCTGTAGGTTCTGTCAGGTTCTCTGTCAGGTTCTCTGTAGTTTCTCTGTCAGGTTCTTTGTAGTTTCTCTGTCAGGTTCTCTGTAGATTCTCTGTAGGTTCTCTGTCAGGTTCTCTGTCAAGTTCTCTGTAGGTTCTGTCAGGTTCTCTGTCAGGTTCTCTGTAGGTTCTCTGTCAGGTTCTCTGTCAAGTTCTCTGTAGGTTCTGTCAGGTTCTCTGTCAGGTTCTCTGTAGGTTCTCTGTAGGTTCTCTGTCAGGTTCTCTGTCAGGTTCTCTGTCAGGTTCTCTGTAGGTTCTCTGTCAGGTTATCTGTCAGGTTCTCTGTAGGTTCTGTCAGGTTCTCTGTCAGGTTCTCTGTAGTTTCTCTGTCAGGTTCTCTGTAGGTTCTCTGTCAGGTTCTCTGTCAGGTTCTCTGTAGGTTCTCTGTCAGGTTCTCTGTCAGGTTCTCTGTAGGTTCTCTGTCAGGTTCTCTGTAGGTTCTCTGTAGGTTCTCTGTGGTTTCCCTGTCAGGTTCTCTGTAGGTTCTCTGTCAGGTTCTCTGTCAGGTTCTCTGTCAGGTTCTCTGTAGGTTATCTGTAGGTTCTCTGTCAGGTTCTCTGTCAGGTTCTCTGTCAGGTTCTCTGTAAGGTTCTCTGTAGGTTCTCTGTAGGTTCTCTATCAGGTTCTCTGTAGGTTCTCTGTCAGGTTCTCTGTCAGGTTCTCTGTAGGTTATCTGTCAGGTTCTCTGTCAGGTTCTCTGTCAGGTTCTCTGTCAGGTTCTCTGTCAGGTTCTCTGTAGGTTCTCTGTCAGGTTCTCTGTCAGGTTCTCTGTCAGGTTCTCTGTCAGGTTCTCTGTCAGTTGAGGTCGAGCTGTTTTAGTTTACATTGAGTTCTATGGGACTTTTTTCTGGGTAGCCCACGTGAAGTTAGTCTGCAGTACCACAGCGCCCCCTGTGGCCATGGGTGGGACAGCTGTAAGTTAGTAATACTCTATCCAGTTATTATAGATCCATGGACAGATCTGTCTGTATCTCAGTTCAACATCAGTAAGAAGGAAATAGGATCAGACTTAGATTTTCAGAAACAAGACAAGTCACACTGGGACAGAATATAACAGTACACACAAACGTACACACAAAAGAACACACAAAAGTCATCTGTCCCAAACTCATCCTGGTCAATCTTCAAAAAAAACTTAAGGCACGGTCACAAAGGTTTTTACAAAAAACCTGCTACAAGGGTTTATTATCTCAACTGCTCCAGCTGGTGGCGCTAATGCTAACTCCACAGACGACCTCGGGGGTCGAGTTATGTTTCTGTTTCTCTTCCCGTTTACATTCTGCTACTGTAGTTGTAGCTAATGTGGCTACCCTGGGTCTACAGCCTCAGTCCTGGGTCTACAGCCTCAGTCCTGGGTCTATAGCCTCAGTCCTGGGTCTACAGCCTCAGTCCTGGGTCTACAGCCTCAGTCCTGGGTCTACAGCCTCAGTCCTGGGTCTACAGCCTCAGTCCTGGGTCTGCAGCCTCAGTCCTGGGTCTACAGCCTCAGTCCTGGGTCTACAGCCTCAGTCCTGGGTCTACAGCCTCAGTCCTGGGTCTACAGCCTCAGTCCTGGGTCTACAGCCTCAGTCCTGGGTCTGCAGCCTCAGTCCTGGGTCTACAGCCTCAGTCCTGGGTCTACAGCCTCAGTCCTGGGTCTACAGCCTCAGTCCTGGGTCTACGGCCTCAGTCCTGGGTCTGCAGCCTCAGTCCTGGGTCTACAGCCTCAGTCCTGGGTCTACAGCCTCAGTCCTGGGTCTACAGCCTCAGTCCTGGGTCTACGGCCTCAGTCCTGGGTCTGCAGCCTCAGTCCTGGGTCTACAGCCTCAGTCCTGGGTCTACAGCCTCAGTCCTGGGTCTACAGCCTCAGTCCTGGGTCTACAGCCTCAGTCCTGGGTCTACAGCCTCAGTCCTGGGTCTACAGCCTCAGTCCTGGGTCTACAGTCTCAGTCCTGGGTCTACATCTTGTCCCCTCTTGGCCACCGTCCAGTCGGGTCTAGACGGTTCTTCTCCTGGAGCGCTCCCAAAGCATCGGATTAATGCTTATTTCGAGAGTGTAGAAAAAGCAATTTGCAAAAAGTTATTATCGCCGTCGTCTCAAGCACCGGTTCAAAAATAAAGATTATAGAAAAGAGAAGCAATTATGGAGGTCATGAATCTGAAAGAGCCAGGATTATGGGACTTTAGAGCAGTCCGCAGAGGGAAACGGGTTCTTTTGGGACATAAACACACTTTTCTGAATTGGCTAAAGCTAACGACAGTTTGCTGCGTCAGTGTTGAGTTCATCAACACTGAGTGTCATGTGGTGGACTATTGTCTCCACCCACAGGCTCCGCCCACAGGCTCCGCCCACAGGCTCCGCCCACGCGCTCCACCCACACGCTCACGCTCCGCCCACACGCTCCGCCCACACGCTCCGCCCACACGCTCCGCCCACACGCTCCACCCACAGGCTCCACCACACTACTGCTTCTACTGCTACTACTGCTTCTACTGCTACTACTACTGCTGCTCCTGCTGCTGCTACTGCTACTGCTGCTACTGCTATTAATTAATACTGCTACTGCTACTGCTGCTACTGCTGCTACTGCTACTGCTACTAATACTACTGCTACTGCTACTACTGCTGCTGCTACTGCTACTAATACTACTGCTACTGCTACTGCTACTACTGCTGCTGCTGCTACTGCTACTAATACTACTGCTACTGCTACTACTGCTACTGCTAGGACTGCTACTGCTATTATTACTACTAATACTACTGCTACTACTGAGGAGGGGGTGGGGCCAGATGGACAAACTGGACCACATGCAGCCAGACAGGATCAGTGCACGCTCACGTGCACATCAGGAGATTCATCCAAAATGGCAATTTAGGCCAAACCTTTACATTCAGCTTCAGAGGTCTCCCATCACAGCTCTAACCAGGCCCTGCCTTGCTTAGCTTCAGAGGTCTCCCATCACAGCACTAACCAGGCCCTGCCCTGCTTAGCTTCAGAAGTCTCCCATCACAGGACTAACCAGGCCCTGCCTTGCTTAGCTTCAGAGGTCTCCCATCACAGCACTAACCAGGCCCTGCCCTGCTTAGCTTCAGAAGTCTCCCATCACAGGACTAACCAGGCCCTGCCCTGCTTAGCTTCAGAGGTCTACCATCGCAGCACTTAGTTTAAGAAACTGCAGAAAAATACACATTTTAAGAGACTGAAG